AAATAGCTCAATTGGTATATTGGGCGGTCACAAAATCGTAATACCATGGTTCGAGCCCAGACCGACCAACCGACTTTTTTTTAATTTTTTTTTTCGAGTTCATTTCCTTTTTGAGAAAATCTATTTTTTCGTGCCCTTTTTTTAGTATTTTTTAAAAACAAGAAAATTTAAATTAAACTAATTGCACTCATGATTTTTTATTCAAATAACCAGTTCAGTTTTTTCTATTATGTCGCTACGATCAAAAAATATTATTCGTATTTCATCAGTATGTAATTTGTATCTAAATATAATTTCCAAAACACATGAATAAAAAAAACCGAGCGAAAAATACCGAGCAAAGCTCGGTCAACCGGTTACTATAATATATAAAAAAAAAAAATAAAAAAAAAAAATACTGTTATTCTACATCGATGCTACGTTCCGCACAACAGTCTCACTTATCTTCATATAAATAAATCTTTCAAAATGATCAATTGCTGCTCTAATGTCTAAAAAAAAACGGCTACGACTGATTTTGATAAATTTTTTGTGTGGGTTGGAATGGGTCCCTAGATTCACATTTAGACCCGGTAGGTGGTGCTGTTATCGAGATCCAGAAATCACCCGTGTGGAACCGGGGTGGATAGCTAGTAATAAATAAGCACAACCCGCGAATAATTACCACATTTTATATAATATGTCACTTCTCATTAATATGCACGAGTATATATATGAGCCGTGGTAGCTCAAACGGTTAGTGTTCGCTATAAATTTCACAGTATGTACGCGAGCAGCCCGGGTTCGATCCTCGCCGGCACCAATGAAATGTTTATTACAATTTTAAGTGCTGATTTACCACGTGCTCGGCTGTGAAGGAAAATATTGTGAGTTAACCTGCATATCTGAGAAACAAGAAAAAAATATTTCAATGACATGTGAAGTTAAAACCAGTGCGGCGCTAGGGCGGCGCGAGCGGTGCCACCGCACCGTGCGCAATCATGAGGGGGGGGCGGTCCGCAAGTAAGGACCTACTGGCCTCTTTCTTGATGCAATTGTACAAGTGTTTGACTTAGATATAATGATTGTAGAGGTCAAGGGTACAATAATGGAGCGAATTAAAAGTGTTCAAACCAGAATTTGACTCAATATTCTCGGCCATTTTTTATTCCATATGGTTGTAGTTATTAGAACTTAAATTGCTCATGTTCGCGTAATAAAATAAAATGATGTATCCTACCCAGTTTCAAGAGCACCTCCCAACCCCCCCCCCTCAATTGCATGAACTATCCCCGTAGCCACCACTCCCAGTACCACGACACCCAACACCACCACATCAGGGACGACACACCACTCGATTATACGATACGTGTTACTTGTCTACACGAGGCATTCCTGTGGATTATACAGGTGTAGTAGTGTCTGCGGTGGCTGAAGGCTAAATGAGCGGCGAGCCGAATCAGTTGCTATATGTACATCTCGCTGATCAACCAGTTGTATAAATAGCAGCGTGTGGAGAGCGGAGAGTGCTAGGAGTGGTGGTGATTAGTGGTAACGAACATAGTGCCAGACTCCGCAGAGCCTACTTCATACGAGGATGCCTCATGTAGAGGCGCAACACATATCATAATATCAAGGGTGGTGTGTCGTTCCTAGTGAGGTGGTGCTGGGAGGGGTGACACTGGGAGTGGTGTTGCTAAGAGTGCTGGTACTGGAAGTGGTGGTTAAGGGGATAGTGAACGCAACTGAAGGAGGGTGGGATCGGTGCTCTCCAGACTGGGCAGGACACATAATTGTATTTTATTACGCGGAAATGAGGAAATTTAGTTCTAACAACTTCAATATAATCGATGTCCGCCAAGTAACGACAGATTTTTTTTATTATCGAAAAAGTTAAGTATTTGGCCGTGACAATTAACTAAAAACTAACGTGGAACGTGAAAAATTGTTTTAGGCACGTGCAGTCGTATGGTTGGGAACAACTGGGGCTTGCGTCCCAGTATGATCCTATGGCTGTACAGCAGCATAGTGAGGGCGATTATCACCTACGCCTCCATTGTCGGGTGTAATAAGGCCAACCAAAAGACGACTGCGGACAGACTAAATAGTCTACAAAGGACTGCCTGCTTAATGGCAACTGGAGCGATGCGATCATCGCCTGGAGCAGCTCTTAATGCACTTCTGTGCCTTGATCTTTATTTAGACCAGGAAGCGAAAGCTAGTTTGTATAGAATTAACGCCCAGGACGCTCTGTGCTTGCGTTCCTAAAAATTGAGATCCATGCTCGACTCAATTAAGGAAACACGGGACTTATGCATGAACTCAGATATCATGCGTCCACTATACACTTTTAATAAAAAGTTTATAGTAGAACAACCCTCCAGAGAAGAATGGCTAAATGGACAGGTTATCTGTAAGGTCGGTAACCTTATATGCTACACCGATGGGTCAAAAACCTAGGTCAACCTAGGCTTTGGAATTAATGGGGAATGCCTCAAATTCAAACTTAATACGAATTAGGGTAGATTCATTGCTATCTTCCAGGCAGAAATTTTCATCATACTTCAGTGTGCGGAAATCAATCTGCAAAAACACAGCAGCACTGCTAGCGCTGAGATCAAACTTAGTGAACTTGAAGCAAGTTGGTGACTGCGTGAGCCGTCTAAACGCCTTAGGATGTAACAACAGGGTATTTTTAAGATAGTTTCCGTGCCACGTGGGTATTTAAGGCAGTGAACTTGCCGATGAGCTCGCACGGGAGGGCATAAAGAGCACACAATTTGGAACCGAGCCATTTTGTGGAATCTAAAAAAGCCTAGCCCTATTGACCCATGAAACTCTATATCACTTAAGATCTGGTCTGATACACCAGGGTTTAAACATTTTAAAACCTTAATCCGAGCTTTTGATCGTATATTCGCTTCAGAAGCCTTGGAATTAGGTAAAAATAAATTGCGCATTCTGGTAAGAGCCCTAACTGGACACTGTTGTCTTAAAAAGCACATGTCCATCCTGGGACTAAGCAACTCAAGGATGTGTCGGTTCTGTTCCATAACGGAAGAAACGCCTCTACACATCCTAACCGATTGCGGACCCTTAAGCGGGCTACATACGACACGATATCGGTGGCGATCTAGGGTGGAGTAGTGGGGATGCCTCCTAGATTGCCTCTAAATCGTGTCGTATGTAGGGCCATCCTAAGTCGTGGCCGATATCGCCTCCTTAATCGGCTGGCAGGAGCAAAAATGCTTCCTAGATCAGCCGATGCTTCCTAGATCGGGGCACCGCCCCCTCCTTACTGCGTGTGTGTAGGCGCATCGGCCCGATTTCTTTTGGCAGTCGCTGCCGGCAACCCTCGCGGAAGGAAGTTAACAAAACAGTGATACTGAATGACATTTTTTATATAACAAAATTTTTACATTTTAATCATATAAACGGAGTAGAAGCCTATGGCACTGATATTTTACAAAAAAACCAAAAAAAGTGAATAAAATAAATAAATTAATTGAAATTTTATCGAAATTCAAATCATATCCACCCTAGCCTGTGACCCTGCGAAGTGACATGGTCAAGAATGCCTACTAAACTAATTTTTTTATTGCCGTTCGTAAAGTAAAGTAAAAGTAAAGTTCGTAAAGTAGAGTGTATGATGTAAGTAAGGAGAAGATAAAGCCTCTCCTCAACAACTAACTCTTATTCCAACGCTATCAACACAAGACCGCACTCATATCTCTTACAACTCCACAAGACCACACTTCGATCTCTTACGTGCCTTCATCCTCTTATCAACAACTAACTTCTACTCCTTCACCATCTCCACATCAACAAAGAAGTTATATAAAAGAGAGTATGTCCGAAATTAAAGGTTTCTTTGTGTTTAAAAAAAAGATATAAGCTATTTTATTTTCTGATAGTTTTACTCCATAAATAAAGATTAGGTACATTAAAAAAAAGTATACATATTATTATACAAAAGTATTTTATTTCCTTGTTTGTTGTATGTAATACATAACCAGATTTTGACCAAAGCAGAAATGAACAAAGAGAAGAAATAACTAAATAGCATAGGTAGGAGAAATTGACGTTTTTATATAAGTGGCGAAATCATTTCTAGAAGGTTATAAAAACTGTCTTCATCCATCCGGAGAAAATTAATCACGTCCTTGGATTACAGGCCATTTAGTACGTTTATGTGGCTTAATTTTTATCTCTTTTGGAGCCATTTTTCCACCCAGCAACTTCTCTTTTTCTATTTTCGAATAAATTAACCGAGAGGGCTAATGCCAAACCAACACGTTGGTGTTTTAAGAGAATTGAAGCTATTTTGAAGAAATCTACCGCATATGCGTTCCGCTCCAAGTCCGAACGCGTACTGCTAGGCAGGCCCGTGTGTAGGGTCTGCCCCGATAAAAGCCCCGATTTCTTTCCACCCTAGATCGCCACCGATATCGTGTCGTATGTAGCCCGCTTTAATGCGCAAACGTAACACTCATCTGGGAAACTATGTACTCCGCCCAGAAGAAGTGAAATTGCTCACGGCTAAGCAACTCCTTCTATTCATTTAAGACATAGGGCTTAGCAGTGAACTATAGCCATAGCAGCGATCACAATAGATCTTCTAGGTCGCAGTGATACTGGTCTCTTTCCCTAGACCTGCATAGCTGCTCACACATAATAAAAAAATACCTCTAACTGTCGCTAAACGGAAATGAAGTTTTAGTACATTAAAACAAAACCTACGTTTCTACAATGTGTCGGAAAGACCGTCATATCGAATCCTTTCCGTGGGAAATTCTATTGGGAAGTTATATTATTCCGAATTAATAAAAAAAGCAAGCTCATAAGCCAGAAAGCTGGCCATCTTGGCTTTTCAATAACTTTGTTGTTGGTAGTTCTTTTATCTTTTGTAACACTGTCTGCAGGACAACAGATTAAATAAAAATTGGCAAACAAGATTATTAACTCTTAGTATGAGAATTAATCTGTACAACTAAATGGAAAGGAAAGGAGAGGAAAGGGAACTAGCCCCCGAAATACAGGTATTACATCCTAGTATAGGGGCCATGACTACTGTAAATTTTGTGCAATATGTTTATCAATAAAGATTATTATTATTGTTATTATTGTTAACTAGTCATCGCAGCAAGGCAAGCATAGTGGTGGAATGGACAACATTTTTTTTTTTGCGCCCGAAGCAATTAAAGGGCTACCCTATACGTAGGGAGGCGGAAAATGCATTACGCATACCACGATAGCCGGTCTATCGTGGTTATGAGGGGCTCACTGTCCTACCGGGGACCCTAAGTGCAATACCCTCTAAAAACCGCCTTTGGGGACAGGCAGCCGGCTGATCAAGCTGTATTGTGCCTTATCATGAGCGACCCTCTTTTGGGAAAAGAGGGCGCAGGCGGCTAAGTGCCGCTGAGGGAGTGCCTACGAAGGCAAATTAATGTTAGTTATAACAATAATTTAATTTAATTAGAGTTGGCCTGAGCCGCCAGGAGACAGTTCAGGTCGTTTGACAGTTTATTAGGCGGGTCCGAGAGAGAGTTTCTCGGCCTGCGGACACGATAGCGAGAGGGGGGTGGGGCTGCATAAGAAGCTGCCTCACGAATTAAATGGTTTGGGTGCGACTCTGAGGCTTTGAAGAAGTTCTCAGAGAGTTTAGACAACATTTCTTTAACGCGAATAAGCAGCACAACTGCTATGGCAAGAGCGACAGACACAACTGTGCCTGCCCCGCATATACGTCTCTAGATGTGTGATAGGTCTAATACTATTCCAAATCACGAAAAAGCAACTGCATAGTATAGGAACATTAAAGTTTTGTATTTAGAGGGGCGCCACTATGAGATTTCGCACCATTTAAAATTTTTGCTAGGGCCGCCATTGCTCAAAACCCTTTCAGAAATGAGAGGAGACCTGTGCCCAGCAGTGGGACGTATATAGGCTGTTACTTTAATTTTTATATTTATATGTTACAGTCATATTTCTCAATAACAAACATGATTTTTTTTATTTCAGGTAACAAGTCTGAAGAAAGTCAATCAAATACCATGTCACGAAGATGTCAGCATTCAGATTGCCAGATTTCGGCTTCACCTAAATATTTTATATACCTCTAATATAACAGCCGTTACCAGAGTCATGTGATGAACAGTCATCTCTTTGAAATCTTTAAAAATAGCCAGTTTCAATAAGAAACTCTTAGAAAATTCAATAAAAAACTCAGTAATTAACTTAATCATCACTAACAATCATTACGATGAATTGTTTACGTGAAGCTCAATATCAATAAGCTTTAGTTGGCGAATTTAAAATAATTAAAGATTTTTTTAAAACTCTGTGAAATCCGCCTCAAATTTTATACATACAAATAAGGTTAAGGTTGTTTTTATTGTATTCTACGCATAAACATAACAACAATAAACTCATAAATAGTTTATAATAACAAATAAAACAATAACAAACAATTACAAAATACAGTGAAACCTGGTCAAATGGGCCCTGGATAAGTGAGAAACCTCTATTATTGAGAACTACAATGAGGTCCCGGAACTTTTTCATCGATTTATCTTTGTTAATGTGACTTTTCGAACCTGGTTAAATGAGATTTGATGTCTAGGATTTTTTCGATGTTTTCGTCTATAATTCGGAGTCTGGAGCTCAATTTTCTTTATAAGTAATTTATAAGTTTCGACACGATTGTTTACAAACATTTAAATTTCATTCGCACGTGCTTTGTTTGTCAGTACTCATTTCAGAAGAGCTCAATGATGATGATATCGTTTCGACGTATTCTTGAAGATGAAGAAATAGAAGAAGACTGTTAAGAGACTTCAGTATTGATTTCAAACCGTGAGGCAATGGAAGCTTTAGAAACTTTACACATGTATTTTGAGATGTGAAAAAATTTATTCTATCGAGAAACAGGTTCAAACAACTAGCAATCAAATACAAAGAAATATAACCGATTACTTTAAGTCATAAACTTTACTATATTATATTGTTTTATTTAATAATAATTACATACCTACACTAAATTCATAACACCAAAAATACGCATTTTCACTATCATTTTCACGTTTATAAATGCAATAACGGTACATTTCAACCTTTATAAGCGGAGGCCTCTCTAAATGAGACAACAAAATTTTAAACCTGTCTAATTGTAAAACTGGATAAATGAAAACCTCTTTAAATGGTACAAAATCCTTGGTCCCTTGAGATCCCAATTAACCAGGTTTCGCTGCAACAAAAATCTTCTGAGAATTTTTTTACATGTTGATCGAATAATACCCGTTAACTAAAAGTACTTTAATAAGTGGAATTTCAGAGGTGTGTACTTGTTTGTACAGTTACTCTTGGCATACATTAACCGGAGATAAAATCACTTTTACCCGTCAGCCGAAGAAGGAGAGTAATGTTTTTCGAGATATGGATGTATGTACCCATGTATATCTATTTCTTTGACACGCTATGTATGCCTAGCCTGTGTATGACTGCTTGATCGATATTAACATATTAAGTGATGTCGTTATCATCGTCTTAGTTGTTGAAGTGACACAAATTGATGATGATGAAATGTTTCTTTTTTACGCGGTAGAGTTTTTAATTACTGTTTTAACCTTTAAGCTTGTTAATACTTACGCTCATAATACCTGTAAAAATACATTTCAGCTAAATACAACACCACTGGGCTACGGGTACGTCAATTTATACTGGTTGATATTTTATTACCGTCTGGAAAATATAGGGTGTAACAGGTGAACGGAAGAGTAGCCTATGGAACTGATATTTTACATGTTTTTTATTTTATTTTAAATTTACATATTATGAAATGGATCTATCAGTAAATACTACTAATTTGAAATATTCTTTCGGTACTAAAAAAATAACAACAAAATTGTTGAACTGAATAAATAAATCAATTAAAAACTATCGAAATTAAAATAATACGTACCCAATTAATTTATTGATAGATCAATTTTATAATATGATAATGTAAATTAAAAATGTAAAATATCAGTGCACTATGCCGTATATTCCGTTCATCTGTTACACCCTATTTTTTTCCTAACGGAAAATAAAATTATCCAGCATAAGAGCAGTCATGCTATAAACTATAAATAGCTATTGAGAGTTGTCTTCGGTAGAGAGCTAAACAAGGTATATAGAATACACTCTGTGACCTGAACGTAGAGTATATGAATTAACAGCCAAACACATTAATATCTCTACATAACTACATAGATACATTGAGCATCACGGATCACCGGCAGACCGGAGGAGAGTAGCCATATCGTTTTTCCCGATATACAATTGTCTGTCATTTTTTGCGGAGGAAAATCTGCCTCTTCAAAAACAATCGTTTGTCAGTACGAAACTCACACAACAATTTAAACAATAAACTAACGATTTAACATACACGTAGATACGTTATAACAGTATCGCTCGGTGACAGGGAAAACTCAGATACAAACTCGTATCAGTCGCTCCACCGATGTATATATTACATGAGGACAAGCGGCTTATGTTGGTAAAGAAATCTGAAGCAAGACAACCGCTCTTATTGTAATTTTTTTAAGTTAAATTGAAGCAATATATGATAGGTAACGTCATTTTTGCAGCAATAAAAGCTGGACAATTCGGTATTTTTGTATGAATTCGATTCAACCGCGCAATTAGATTGAATCTAGTGAGCAGTGCTTCTGGAACTAGTTTTATTGTACAGAACCGCGAGGACTTATACTTTGACAGGTGGGAACGTCTGCGCTAAGGCTACTCCCCTCCGATCCACAAGTGGCCCGTGTATAGAGTTAACTTAAATTATTTATAAAAAGTACTGGCGTCTGTTAATGCACAAGATTTATTTGCTACACATCTAAAATACGTACTGTATAATTATTTTCGCTGCAACTACCTCTAATATTATATAATATTGTTGTTACATGTATATGTAACAATTAGCTAACGTAGACTAGCGGCGTTTATTTCATTTGGAACCGATGAATTACTTGTCACCATGAGCATTTTACTATATATACTCCTAAGGTAATTTAAAGGGCAAAAACATTATGCATTCTTGCTGTGTAGATGCTGTCTTGAAGATCTCCCTATGTTTTTTTCTAACAACTATTCAGTAGTTTTGAATATAGTACGTAAGGGTAACATGGTCATCAGGTTAATATGGTCACTTACCTATAACAAAATAACTACACACTTGTTGCATAGATGAATTTTTGATACTATAACTCTTCATCAGTCAATCAAATACTAAACGATCAAAAGGGCGCTGCTTTATCGACGCCATTTTGACAGTTGACATTATAGAAAGCATAGAATTAGTCTAATTACTCTATGTAATAATAGTTTGAGAAGTAGTAAGCGCAAGATACTTCTGACATCAAGCTGACCCATTCATTAAAGTTGAAAAAGTTATAGCCTATATACTTCCCACTGCTGGGGATATGCCTCTCATTTTTAAGAGGACTTTAGGACAAGGAAATGTCCGTCGCGCTGCCCCAATTCGCTTTTGCGAACTTCAGATGTCTTCAAAATTTCGAGATTTTAATATGGTGTAGTTACTGTTTTTAATTTGATTTTCAAAGTGTTTCTAATCATTTTCAAAGCTTGTTTGCTATTTTTTTCGTAATAAATTAGTTATAGTATGCGACTTCGTGGTTTTGTCTCTGTCCTCCTCCTGGTTTTGGTCTTATAGGCCGGCAAAGCCTCAGGTAACCATATCAGCGTCACGCACCTCATAGTATAATAAGTAAGTCTATGCTTATTATGTAATTTTTAATAACACATAAATTAGACCGCTTCGATACTGCTGTGTTTTAATAAATTCCATCCATTTCGTCACTTCCAACTCAAGCATTTTAGTTTATCGAAGTGGTTAAATTAATAAAGGACAATTGACAATGTGTATAACATTTACTAAAGTTGTTTGAAAAAAATAAGGTAAAAACGTATATTTAAGGGATTAGTATGCTTTCAATGTCTAATAGAATTAAACAGTGTCTTATACACTGTGCAAACAACCGTCGATTATGAAAGATTTATCGCTTGGTGAGTGCAGGTGGCCCGGGGCCCAATCCCCTCCCTACCCCTTAACATGGTAGGGGAATTAAGTGAAGATCTACCCCAGGAGGGTACCAGCACCCTTGGTGACGCAGAATCCCTTGCTGAGCATCCACGACCAAGTTATCGTACTTTTCCTGAGCGTGGGTGCTCAGGCTGCCTCGCGTATTATGGGGAGGGGGGCAATTCCACCCGCGACTTAAACTGCTCGGGGTAAGCGGAGCAACAACACCAAGATGACCCCTGCCACGCTATCCATGAATTTTTGCAACATGGAGGGGACTTCATTCCAACCTTAACGCTGTCCACTACCATCTGGAAACAGCAAAGCCGGCCTTGCTCTTTTTAACCGAGACTCAGGTGTCTTCTCCTACTGATACTTCATAATTCTCCTACCCGGGGTACAAATTAGAATATTCCTTTGTGCCCCGGACTGGAGTTTGTGTATACGTCAGAGAGAACATCTGTTTTCGACACCTCAGCAGTCTTGAAGGTTCATCCTATGGCTGCGCATAGACAGCGACGACCATCCCCACGTCTACGGGTACCTCTATAGGTCCCATAGCGGTAATACTGAAACAATCCGACCCCTCGACCACGTCCAATGGCTACAGATTCCGTGCTACAGCAGGTCCCATCCGCAGAGGTCGTGATCCTTGGCGATTATAACGCCCACCACTCCTTAACCGATCATGCGGGGAGATCTGTTCATGCCTTTGCTTTGGCATATGGTCTGACAAAACTGGTTACTGAGTCTACGAGGATTCTAGATGTGGAAGATCATACACCTTCCCTGTTGGACCTTCTGCTGACCTCTCATCCGGATGGGTATCAGGTTTCCGTCAACGCCCCTTTAGGCTCGTCGGACTATTGTCTTATCCGGAGTGTGGTGCCAGTCACATTAACGTCTCGGTTGCATTCTGCAACCCCCACCATTCTTCG